TGCCCTAAGTTTGTCAATTCATTTGTTAGAGTGACGAGTAGGTTCTATTGTGTGGGTTGTTCAGTTCTTTTTTCTCCGTCTAATCTGCTTTGATATTTGTTCTGCAGGTCCTAAAATTTGCAGCATATTAACGATGACTGAATGGATCTCTGAAATGCATTTTCATGATTGCGTGTCAGAGTACATCTATTATATTGGTTAGAATAAACAGGCACATACACATGGAAATCTCTTTAATTTGTCATCTGTTAAGTAAAAACATGTCGTTTATTTGTTGTTTTGTCAGCTTTGAAGGGATAAATTTAATTAATTCATTTGGTTAGTGGTAAGACGGGACCAGATCACGGCGGCTATTTATGATTTACTTTTAAGTTGTTTAAAAAAAGATGGAGAAACGTTGGTGAAGCCGCGGATCCCAGGTGAAAGTATAGTTGGCTTTAATTAAGACTGCAGAAAGTTTGACATTTCTGACATTACACATCAGTTGTAGTCTACTGATCGAAGACGAAACATTTTAGGGACGGCGCTTTTAATTTTCATTTATTTTTTTTCATTCGAAGTTTGAAATTTTTTAGATTTCATTTATGAAAAGGAAATAAAAATTAGAGGGAGGGAATAGGGTTGGTGCATATTGGTTTTTTTTTTTTTGCTTCGGATAAAAGCAATGGACAATCCTGTGGTTTGCATCTGACACTGGTAGTTGGAAGAAAAAAATGTGAATGAGCTGAGAGTTGTTTGGTGAAGTAATGTCTATCGTCCTGTCATCGCTTCTGTTCTGTTGTTCATTGATCAGCAGATGGTTTATTTGATAAGTAAAAAAAGAAACGAGACAAATAAATGGGAAAAAACTTGCTCAGTTTTTTTATTGCATTTGTTTTTTCGAAGTCTCAATGACTGAAGGAAGAAGGTTTATGGAAGAATTTGTTGGTATTGTGTCAAGTAATTGAGTGGCTGTAATTCATTTCGGCGGGTGCAAATTGCAGTGGAGATTCTGGTGAAACTATTAGGGAGCTGTTTTTTTTTTTTCTTGTAGGGATTCCGTCCGACAGCCCCGAGAAATTTTTAAATCAAAGTCGATAAATTAATTATTATTTTAAGGCTAACATGGAAAAAAGCAAAAGTTGCAATCAGTTGTAAAGTCACAGATTATTGACATTTTTAGAATTTTTTTATTGTTATTTATTGCACCGGTTTTAAAACAGCCATTTAGCAGCTCTTTAGTGTTGTCTTTGCAAAAAGCTGTCTAAGTGCAGTTTTAACAAGATAAAAAAAAAAAGGGAATAAATTTTTGTTTTAAATTTATTTATAAATTTTTTTAGGGGTATGAAGGAAAGAATTGTTTTACAAAGCTGAGATAAAAAAAATATAAACGAATGAATAAAACGAACATTGAAAGTGTTGTGAATTTTATTTGCTTAAAATCTTTTAGAAAGCTAGTAATTAGTGTCTGTCTGGTTTTAGCGAGAAATTTGCAATTTGAAATTAGTTGTTAAAATTGTTGGCATCAGATATCTGCCATTTATAGTGATAGACTTTTGCCACTTCTGTTGTCTCATTTATTTATCTATTTTTTTAGTTGTTGAAGTATTTCAAGGTTTTTTTTCAGAATTTGGAAGGAACAAACTGAAAAATCACTGATCTATTTGTGAAGGGAAGAAATAAAAAAAATGGTGGCTTACTGTTAAACTGGAATCATTCATTTCATGGATTTAAACTTCTGCTTTGTTTGATTCGCATACTTTAGATAGCTCTTGTGGCAAATTTTTCAGTAGCCACTTAGTGGAAGGCAGTTCTTTAGTTTTTTTCCAGGAAAAAAGTTTTTAATGGTAAAGGATGAAAAAAAAATGGACTTGTTTTTTTGCCACGAAAACTATACCACATTTTATGCTAAGCAGTATTCTGAGTAACATTTTACGAGTTCGTTTATAAGCCAGCATCAATTATTTTGTTCTTCTATAGAAATTAGTTCATTACTTGATGCACAGTTCATTGAGCAGTGCTAGTGAAATTTTTTTTATCCTTATTTTCTTGATTTACCTTCTGGTACCATTTTTACGATACTTAGTAACTTGGATATAATTTAGATTAATTTTTTTCAGAATTCAAAAGTGAGTGACTGTTAAGCAATCGCCATCACTAAACTCTCAATATAAGTTGACCGGGTTACTTTTCTAATGAAGTAAAGTTGTTTGAAGCAGTTAATCAGTTTAAGGTCATTTTTCTGTTTTTGCTGATTATTAAATTTAATTTAAATGGATATATAATTTTTAAAATATAACAGGAAATCTTTGGGATAAAGTAAAGGTTAAGCCACAAGATGTAGGGATAAAACTGAGTGGGGGAGGTAAGGATAGTTATTTCGAACAGATTATCGATGTGTGTAATAGTTGTCATGATGATGATCAGGTGTATCAGTACTAAGTGCTAAATCTATCTGACAACAGCTAGCTCGATAGCCATTACAATTAAGACGCTTAAGTTGTAAAGTCTTTAGTTGGGTGGTTTAGACTGATTTCTTATGGCACGTAATAAACGGCATTGTTTTACTGCCGAGCAGATAACTGTATCTAACATATAAAATATCGAATCTATACTGAATGACTGAGTGCTGCTTGATCTATAAGTTAGGCAGTGATATTAGAGAACGATTTTTTTTTTTAGTCTCAACTGCTCAGTAAGTAACTAAGCTAAAACAATTTTCTTTATGTTATTAGTAATTTTTTTTCTGATATTTTACGAAGTCTGCTAGTTTTTAATGTTATTTTCGATTAAGACAATGACAGCTAAGTTTTACCAAAACATTATAGGAAACCGGTAATTAAATTAACTTCCAAGTTTTTTCTAGTATTTGGACTTTTTTTTTTTACTGCAGTCGCGTCAGTCGTTTGTTGGGATTTTTGGTATTCCAAAACCGGTAATTGTTTTTGAGAAATGTTGCTGGGACGACAAAAGATATGTTGCAGGCAATTTTTGTTGTTTGGATACGAAGTTTACGCTGCCTCATTAACGTTTCCACGTAGTCTGCTGTGGTTAAGATTTGAGGTAAGCTGGCAAGCGTACCAAATGATTTGTATCAAATTTATCACACAAATACAAACATGGGAAATAGCAACAAAAAAAGTTTTGTGCCATGAATTTCTTTTTATACGATTAAATAACTATAAAAACGAAAGTGGACAAAAAGACAGCAAAAAAATAACATAATTTCATTTTTTTTCTACCTCGAATATACCATTCTTTTTTCTCATTTTTTTTTTTTTGTTTTTGTTTTTTATGTAATTATTAAAAGCTTTGATACAGAGGAACAGCGATGAAGTAGAAAAAAAAACAAAACTGAAAGGAACATAGGTGTACAATAAATTTGCTCTTTTTTTACTGTTCATTTTTTATGTCTTAAAATACAAGACAAACTGACGTTAAAAGAAAGAAAAGTGTACTTTTTAATCTTTATTTGATTTAATTTTTAATTTCATAGTACCACTAAGTACTTTTGCCAAGTCTTCGATAGGTTCCTATCCAGGCTTTACAGCTTGGGCAATAATGCTGTACATCCTTAAATGTTTCCAAGCAAAATGGTACCCAAAGGAAGATCAATGGAAGGATGAAGATTCCGGAAATTAGAATCACTAAGAAGCTAACATAAGTGAATAGACCGTTTACAAAGCGTACTTCTGTTTCGCCATGTGCCTGAAATCAGAATACAGTTAACATCAATGATGGGGTGTGAAATTTGGAAAAAGACCAGATATTTTTTTTATCTTTTTATTTTTTTTCTAGAAATTAAATTTCCCGTGCATTATTTCAGCCGTTTTTGTATCAAACATGTTCAGCTCTTTTCTGTTAGCTGAATAAATTGGATATCAAAAGTTAACTGGATGTCAAATACAAAAAATCTGTTACGATAGATCAGAAAAGGTCCAAGAAAACAAGCAGAAGGAAATAAAGCAGTCGATCATTAGGAAATAACAGTCCAAAGTTTTATCAGTGTCAAACAACATCATTTCTACTTTTTATGGATGTC